ACCGGGGATGGGGATGGAGATGGCACCAGGGATGGGGATGGCACTGGGGATGGGGATGGTCCCTGGGGATGGAGATGGCACCGAGGATGGGGATTGTCCCTGGGGATGGCACCAGGGATGGGGATGGCCCAAGGTTGGGGTTGTGCTGGCTCCAGAGTCACCCAGGGTTCTCCTGGGGACAGCCAGGAGGTGCCAGCCCTGCCCTGCCCCAGTGCCCCCAGCTCCCCACTCTGAGCTGTTTGCTTAACGAGGAGCTCTGCATTTTCCCCACAATTTGAGCCCTTGACAGAGCTAAGAAAACAGAGCTGTGTTTGGCTAATCCCAGTGACCTCGGCGAGCCCCCGGGCTGCTCTGCCTGCACAGCTGTCTGTGGGACAAACCCTTCATTTCATCTCAGGCTCTCAGCGCTCTCTGGGACACCACAGCCCCGTTATGGGGTGGCTCTGGGGCTCTGCAGGAGCTGCTCCCAAAGTGGGGTCTCCACACACATCCCAAAGGCAGGGAGAGACCCCAAGAGGCTCCCCCAGGAGCAGGAGGGTCCTGTCACCCCCCAGCACGCCCCCTCACTCACCTGAGTCCGACTTCTTGGAGTATTTCTTGCTCTGGCCGCGGATGATGAGCACGAAGACGAGGAGGAGGATGAAGATGAGCCCCACCAGGGCGATGACCACCAGAAACCACCACTCCTCATAGAACGGGTTGGTTTTCTGGGCTGGGGCACAGCAGGGAGGGTCAGAGGGGGACAGGGACGTGGGGACAGCCCTCTGCAGAGCACAGGGTCACCTGGGGAGGCCTGGATCCCCAAAAAGGGATGGGGATTTGGAAAAGGGGTGCTGACGGTGGGACTGGGGCTCTGTAGGAGCCAGGGGTGGGTTCACGAGAGCAGAGCAACAGCAGGACCCTCCCTCTGGCCCAGGGGGGCCCTGGGACCCACCTGACACGGAGGGGGAAGGGGTGCTGGGGGTCCCGTAGCCGTAGTCATTGACGGCAATGACTCGGAAGTCGTAGCTGACGCCCTGCTTGAGGATGTCCATGCTGAAGGTGTAGGAGGTCACCTCCTTGGGGATGTCTTTGATGAGGATGTCCCAGAGCCCCTCGTCTGGAAGAGAAAACGGGGCTGCGATTTTAGGGCTGGGATTTTGGGGCTGGGATTTTGGGGCAGGCTCTGCAGGACACCCAGGGCCAGGGGTGCTGTCTCTCCATCCACCAGCCCTGCAGGTGCTGCCCTTGCTATCAGCCCCACTCAGCAGCGTTTTCCTCACAGACACTGCGTCCTAACACCCAACCCAGGTCAGCACTCCCTGCCTCAGTTTCCCCTCTCCTGATTGTCGCCATTGTATTTTCTGGAAAAATCCCTTTGCCAGGACTTCTCTCCTGGGAAGCTGAGAAGCCTCAGAGAAAAAGGAAAACAATATTATCTCATTTGCTTCTTTCTCCTGTGTTTGCTTCTTTGGAATGTGGTTTGGAGATTGTTTATCCAACAGGTGGCTGTTTGATTGGTTTCATGTAAATTGTTGTGACTTACTGGCCAATCACAGTCAGGCTGTGTCAGGACTCCTTGAGAGTCACGAGTTTTCCTTACCATTCTTTGTAGCCTTCTGTCTGCATCCTTTCTCTATTCTTTAGCATAGATTTAATACAGCATTCTTTAATATAATATAGATCATAAAATAATAAATCAGCCTTCTAAGAACATGCAGTCAGATTCATCATTTCCTCCTTCGTCCTGGGGACCCAGCACACAGCACACCTGAGCCCACCTGAGCAAACACCACCCATCCCCACCTGAGATGCAGTGGTACCTGAGGGCCGGGCCTCGATGACGTATCTGGTGATGGGACCCTGGCCTGGGTCCCCACTGGACCAGTGGATGGTGATGGCCGAGCCATAGCGGGAGATGAAGGGTTCTCCAGGGGGGCCAGGGGCACCTGGGGAGCAGAGCACAGCTGGAGCAGGGCCACAAACTGGCCCAGACCCCGCTCCATCTCCTCACCCTGCGTGTCCCCAGCTGTCCCCCGTACCTTCCCCGGGCCCCGTGGTGATGTTGGCCTCGACATCCGGCCCATAGGCGAAGGTTTTGGCGCGGATTCGGAAGCGGTAGGTGACGCCCTCAGCCAGGTCCTTGACCTTCATCCACAGCGGNCTGATCCCAGCCCCACTGCCGGGGAGAGCGCTGCGCTCACAGCCGCTGCTCGCTCGCTCGCTGGAGGGGATTAAGAGCAGACCTTTGCGGGAGAAAAGGGGCGGGAGAGCCCAGATTATCCCGAACCTGCCTAATGCAGCGTTTCTTGGCTATTCCGGAGGCGTCTCCGCGGAGGGAGGGAGGGAGGGGGTGGCGAGTGGGTGCTGGGATGCTCTGGCCGCGCCACTCGTGGGGTCTCGGGCGCTGCGGGGTCCGGAGGTTTCTCGTGTCACCGGTGCCGTTGTGACAGCGCCGGGTGGGCAGCGCCGGGCACTGGGATGGCTCGGGTGGGGCTGACACTTCCCTAAATTGGAAGGAAGCGGTGTCACCATGGAGCTGTGCAGCGAGGCGCTGCGAGATGCTGGGATTGGCACAGCTCTGCCCCCAGCCCGGCTGTCCAGCTCACATCTGTGTCTCCATCCTGGGCTGTGCTGCTTCCTCCAGTGCCGTTTTCATGGCCCATTTTATTGGCAAATTTTATTTTCCTTTCTCCCGAACAGAGAAGCAAAAGGAGGCAGTTGAGGAGGGGGCCGCCTCCGCATGCAGCAGCGAGGTTTTGGTAGGTGAGGAAGAGGAGGAGGGTTTTCCCCAGCCCCCAGGGCATCCCGACCCTCTCCCGTGAGACAACGCGGGTCCTGGCGTGGAGCTGGGAGGCCGTGCAGCGCTGCTCGCCTCACCTGCCGTGTCACGGGAGCGTGGAGATGGCTGAGACAGCGCAGTCGGCGGGGATTAGCATCACCCGGCTGGTGGGAGCCGCCGGGAGGGCTCCCGCGGGCTGCCCTGGGAAGAGCAGGCACTCACTCGACTTGAAAAACTGCCTGGGACACACAGACACACAGACAGACAGACCCCCTCCGCTGGGGTGCCGGCCCCGGGGATCGCTCCCGCCCTTCCTCAGCCACCGCCGGCTCCTTTTGCTGCCTCTCAGCAGCTTTTGAAAGCAGAGAATAAAAAAGAAAAGGCTTGAAAAGCACTTTGGAAAGCAGGGCAGGGAGAAGAGCCCGGGCAGCCCCATCCCCTCCTCCTGC